CTACGATGCCCCTCCCCCCCAACCACCAATCCCCCTTCCCCCTCCCCCCCAACCCAATCCCCCCTCTCCCCCCTCCCCTCTCTCTAATTAAACCCCCTTTCCCTCTCTTATTCTCGATCCCCAAACCCCATGCCTTTGTTTCGCTTTGTAACCCCCTTCCCCTCATCCCCCCCCCCACCCCCCCCCCTCCCCCTCACCCCGCCCCCCCCCCCCCATCCCCCCCCCCCCCACCCCCCTCCGCCTACACCCTCCCCTTCACCCCTACCTTCCCCCTCCCCCTCCTTCCCAAATTCTACCCTCCCCTCCCTCTACCCCTCTCTCCCCTCCCCCTCCCTCTCAATTTCTCTCGCTCCCTCCTTCTACCGCTTCTTCTCCTCCCTCCCATCTACCCCTTCTTCCCCCCCTCCTTCTCCTCTCTACGCCTCTCCTTCCCTCTCCCTCCTTCTACCCCTCTCTTTCTCCCTCCCTTCTTCTACCCCTCTCCCAGCTCCCTCCCTCTCCCTCCTTCTACCGCCTCTCCTTCCCTCTCCCTCCTTCTACCCCTCTCTCCCACTCCCTCCCTCTCCCTCCTTCTGCCGCCTCTCTTTCTCTCCCTCCTTCCCCTCCTATCTCCCTCCCCCTCCCTCCCTCCTTTTCCCTCCCTCCTTCTTTTTCTCCCTCCCTCTCCCTCCTCTGCCCCTCTCCTTCTCCCTCCCCTCCCCCTCCCTCCTCAATTTCTCTCTCCCCCTCCTCCCCTCCCTCCCTCCCCCCCCCCCTCCTTCCCCCTCGCAGCTGTATCGAACTCCGCAAACTGCCTTCTTCTCCTCCACAAACTACAACAACAGCTTACATTTCCCCGCTTAAACTTGAGAGACGATATCCGAGGCCAGGCTATACAACTTCTTTGATTCTCCGTTAATATATTTTTTTTCTTTCCTTTCCTTCTCTTCTCTCTCTCTCTCTTTTGTCTCTCCCCTCTCCTCTTTTTCTTTCTTTCCTTTTCTCTCTCTCTCTCTCGCTTTTTCTTCCTTCCTTTTCTGTTCTTTTTTCCCTCCCTCTCTTTCCCTTCTCTCTCTTCGCTTTTTCGACCTCTTCCTTTTCTTCCTTTCCTTCCTCTCTCTCCCTTCTCTCTCTCTCTCTCTCCCTTCTTTCTTTCCCTCCCTCCCTCTTTCCCTCTTCGCCTCTTCTCTTCTTTCCCCTCCCTCCCTCTTCTCTTCCCTTCCCTCCTCTTCCCTTCTCCTTCCCTTCCCTCCCTCTCTCCCCTCTTCCGCCTCCCACCCCCCCTCTCCCCCCACACACACGCCGCTAAGAGGTACCTTTAGCAAGGTTATCTTTAAAAGGAGTTTCTTTTATACGGAGTGGTGAAGGTAAACAGATGTCTGGGGAGGTGTGAGGCGTGGTGTAGGGGGGAACGTGCGTATATACATTAATGCGTACATACATACGCATACGCACACGGGGATGGTGGTATCGATTGCAGACGCGTGTTTATCTAATTTATTTAAGTCCCTCTCTTTTCCATTCTCTTTTCTCTCTCTCTCTTTCTCTGTCTGTCTGTCTGTTTCTCTCCTTCTCTCAGTCTCTGTCTCTGTCTGTCTGTTTCTCTCCTTCTTCAGTTCTCTGTCTCTGTCTCTCTCTCTCTCCTTCTCTCTGTCTCTCTTCTCTGTCTCTGTCTCTGTCTCTGTTCTCTGTCTCCTTGTCTGTCTCTCTCTCTCCTCTCTCTCTCTCTCCCTCCCTTCAAACCCAACCTCTCCAGATATAAAGAGAGAAACAAAAACAAAAGATAAAGGGAGCCGTCAAAGGAAAGACGTAAGAGGGGAAAAGCGAATAAGAACAAGAAACTTGAGAAAAAAATGGAAGAAGGCAGGACGGAAGAGACAAAGCGATTGAAATTCTTCTAAAAAAAACGCGGGGGAAAGATAGAAATAACGAGCAAAGGTTTACTAAGAAAATTGTTTTGCAAGTTGAGAGATATGAGCGAGCAATGGACGGGGAGGGAGAAAGATGGTGGATCAGTGGGTAGGATTGATATGATGGAGAGAGAAGCAGCGGAATGAGAGGAGGAGTGGTGGAAAGAAAAGGAGAGGGAGGAGGGAGGGAGGAGGAGTGAAGAGGCAGAGAGGAGAGAGAGAGAGAGAGAAGAGAGAGAGAGAAGAGAGGAGATGAGAAGAGAGGGTGTGGTGGGAGAAGAGAAGAGAGAGATGAGAGAAGGAGAGAGAAGAGGAGAAGGAGAGTGAGTGACGTGACGATGAGTGAGTGATGAGAGGAGAGAGAGAGAGACGAGAGAGAAAGAGAGAGAGAGAGAGAAGAAGAGAGAGAGAGAGAGAGAAGAGAGAGAGAGAAGAGAGAGAAGAGAGAGAGGAGGAGAAGACGAGAGAGGTGAGATGAAGAGTGACGATTGAGAGTGAGAGTGAGAGCTGAAGTGAGAAAGAGAAAGAGAGAGAGAGAAAGAAAAAGAGAGAGGATGAGAAGAGAAAACAAAGAAAAGAGAAAGAGGATGAGAGAAGCGACAGGACAGGACAGACAGAGAGAGAGCGACAGACAGACAGACAGAGAGAGGAGAGACAGACAGACAGACAGAAAGAAAAGAGAAGAAAGAAAAAGAGAAGAGAGAGAAAGAAAGAAGAGAAAGATGAGAGAGCTACAGACAGACAGACAGACATAGAGAAGAGAAGACGAGAGAGAGAAAGACAGACAGACAGAAAGAAAGAGAAAACAAGAGAGAGAGAGAGAGAGAAGAGAAGAGAGGAGCACGGGGCACCAAGCATGCCTCGCCCCGCACGCACAGATCAATAAAAAGGGACGCAAAGTCATAAACGCAGCGACGGTGGAAGTGGAGAAAATTCCGAGAAAGATGGAGGGGAAACAAGAAAGGAAGAGAAACGAAAAAAAAGAGGGAGACGCGGGAACCGAGAGAAGAAAAGATGGGGGAATAGGCGAGGGGAG